CTGCCTGTTAGTCCTGCCCACCTCTGCTGTCGCTTTCCACATTGGTAGATCTATCATTCTTCCAAAGCCCCACTCTGTCCTTTTTTAAAAAAACAACAACTATTTATTACTTTTCAAAAAGCAAAATTTTAAAAAACCACAACAATATAAAAACAGTATAAAACAAATCAATCATAGCAATTCAGATCACAAATCTTAACTCGATTGACTTCCCTCCAGTCCCCCTCTTGGTTCCATTGTATTGGCTTATTCATGCACGTTCCTAGAGCCTTATATTCTTAAGAATCCAATCTTAAAACCTTAAAAGCCCCACTCTGTCCTGGTCTTCTGTTGAAGGCCAAGAACAAGGGATCGCCCCCCCCACCCCCAGCTTCTGTCCAAGAATACAAAACAAAAGTTCCACACACCAAATTACCCCCAGTCGTTCTTTCTATCATATTCAGCAGCTGATTTCAAAGAAAGGCAGAGGGGGAGTTCTTGTAAGGACTGAAATGGACTTCTGTGGAAGGTTGGATTTTGCTTACTGTGTCAAGAGTGCGTGCAGGAGGCAGGCCCTGTGACCAGTAGGACTTTGCAGGACTGGGGCCTTCCTAAGTTTGTTCTGAAGAGGCAAGGCGTGGCCGCACAGGTGAGGCCGATTGGTAATTCACAGCACCTGGTGGCAAAAGCCAGGAAGGGATCTAAGGTCAGCATTTCCCTTTGGCTTTTTGCCACAGCAACACATTTCCTGCCTTGCTGCGTTTGGCTCCTTGCTTCTTGATCCTTGGACCCTTGACTTTGTGACTCCTTGATTCCTGACCCTCGGACCCTTGGCTTCTTGACTCCTGGCTTCTGGCCTCTCCTTCCTGCTCCCACCCCGCCATCTTGTCCTCAGCAAGGACTTCTACCGCCTGTGAACCAGACTGTGACATACTGGTCTTTTGTTCAGGTACTGAATATTCCTGCTGGACTGAGCACAAACTTTGTGTAGGAGTGGGGCAAAAATAGAGTCCACCAATACGTGGGAATTGTGTTTTTATCTTGTATTTTTATACTGTGAACCACCCAGAGATCTGCAGATGAAGGGTGGTATACAAATTTATTTAATTAACAAACCACCAGTGCTCGGGGGGGGGGGCGATGGAGATGAGGCAATCTGTGTTTTAAGTTTGTTCCAGGCAGCCTGCAGGGGAGCTAGGAACAGTTTTTCCATTTCTAAAAAGTAAGGTGTAAAGACTCAGGTTTGTAGGAATGCCAGGCCACACATTGTAGGAATGTGTAGCCCCTTTTCCACTTGGGTAGGAGGTGTCAGGCTACACTCTGCATGTAGTCAGAAGCACTTTTTGTATATTTCAGTTGGACAGGACCAGCTGGGTTATTTGTGGATTGCACTCTCAACTGCAACCAGTTTACTCCTAGCTCAATGCATTCTGGAAAAGCAAAGGATAAAATGCAGGAGATGACAAGGCACTCAGCATCGCCAGAATTCACCACCCCAAACTTCTTAATTCCTGCAATAGACTTATTTATCTGAAGCATTTCTACTAAGCACTTGCACCAAAAAAAGGCTTTCAGGGCGGATATGATACTCCCCACCGTCGGGTTTAGAATCTATAAGCCACTACACAAAAGGAAAAGATTTGGAGGGAGTAGGGTAAAAAGAAAAGTCAAGTACAGTGGTACCTCGGGTTACATACGCTTCAGGTTACATATGCTTCAGGTTACACACTCCGCTAACCCATAAATAGTGCTTCAGGTTAAGAACTTTGCTTCAGGATAAGAACAGAAATCGGGCTCCGGCGGCAGCAGGAGGCCCCATTAGCTAAAGTGGTGCTTCAGGTTAAGGACAGTTTCAGGTTAAGAACGGACCTCCGGAACAAATTAAGTACTTAACCCGAGGTACCACTGTACTAGTTTTTAGTTACAAAGATCTTTAACAACCAACTGGAATGGGAATAGTTAGGAACAGAGGTTAAGAGCTGATGTGGAAAGCAGCTATAAAAACATGGCTACACCAACTCAGGATGAAAATCTGTCTCTGGCAAAATAGGAAAGGCAGAAACACACAAGAATTTTGTGTGTGTAAGTAAAACATGCAGGGACTCTTCGCTGTTGCACAGAATACAAAGAAATGTAGACGTCTCCAAAGTAAGGTTGTTCATCAGTTCATATGCAATCTTATTCTCATGCTAACCTAAGGTTCCCTGCAACATGTGATGGTACATCAATTTTGATCCAAACCCATTTTTAATTTACAAGCTGCTCGCTTTAAAACAAACAATCCTTACATTACCCTAAGTGAGCACTAGGCTGTGCCATCACTCTAAGAATGCCAAGTGGGACACATTGAAAAAGGCACAATCACTTTTTCTCCCCTTCCTCAAGCCACAAGGAGTCAAGGAGTTTAGTACACAGCAGAGGATTCTGAGAGTAGTAGCAGATTATTTCCCTAGGGCAAAACCATGTGATTTGAAAAAATCTATCCAGACACTCTGCATTATAAACTGCACTGATAGTGTTAAACGTGCAGACACTATGAACTGGTGAACCCATTCATTGGTGTGGGGAACATGTGGTCCCCTAGGTGTTGCTGGACTATAACTTCCATCATTACTGACCGCTGGTGTATGAGAAATGGTTACCCTTCCTGCCTCTGTTCCTTCCCCCTCCCTTGCAGCTGTTAAGTTTTTGAAGGTGTGAGAACCTTCTCTGATGTCCTAATAAGTTGGGAGGAGGTGAAGACCCACACACAGCTGCCTTAATCAGTCTGGGAGGAAATTGTTATTGGAAAGTGAGGCATGGTTTGGGCAGTTTTTTGGGGAAAGTTTGTGCCGCAGGGCCGTGCAAACTGAGGCTACCTGGGGGAATCACTTCACCACTTCTTGAGGACTTCCAGGTGGCAGATAGAAGAGCATGCCTGGTATGTATGTATTGCTTGCTGTTTAGGAATGAAATCATCTTCTCACCCACTTGTGTTTTGTATCACTTCTGAATCTCTTCTAAAAGAACCACCTTGCATTTGGCAAGACAGCTGGTCATGTTTGCTGTGCCTGATAGGAGTGGAAGTCCAAACAATACTGGAGGGCCAGAGGTTCCCCATTCTGGTTTTTTGCCCATACTTTCCTCCATCACAATGCAAACTTGATGTATTGCCTTAAGTCTACTCTCCTGAATACACTTACCTGGGAATAGTCCCATTTAATTCACTGAAAAATGTTTCTGAGTAGACATGCATAGGATCACAATGTAAATTGTGCAAAGTTGTGCAAAAGGCCATAACAAAGCTTACCACAAAAAGAAAAAGCTGTATGGATTGATCATGTTCCCAATGGGTTTCAAAAATATTTTTTAAAGGGGAAACTGTTGGTATTTTGAAATGCATTGTTGGAATCTGTAACTGTGCTGGAGTACAAGTTGTTTTATTATCCCTCCACCAAAAACCTTGATGAGGTTTGGGAGAATTTTTCATCCGGCAGCAAAGGAACTTCTATAGGGTTGAGGCAGAAGGTACAAACCATGGCAACTATTCGGGGTGTGAATCAGCCCGAATCAGTACTTCCTGAGGCGTGTACAAGGTGAACGAAGATTATTTGGGTGATGCTTTCACAATCCTGAGGCAGAATGCCATTAAGGTATCAGGAGTGGGTGATCATAACTGCAAATTGAAGCATTTTCCATTGCAACAAAATGTGAAGTGTAACGCCTCAGAACTACAGAGCTGGCCCTTTCTATACAACTATATTCTGTAAGGAACACTCCTAATCTCCTGGTATCAACCAGGGCTGCTACCTGGGTTTGGAGATTGAGGAAGATGCAGAAATTTCTCCCCACCCCTCCCGATTTTGGGGTGGGAGCAAAAAAAAAAAAAAAAAAAAGGGGCTGTGCTGTTTTTCTTCCCTCCCAAAAAATCTGATGATACACTGCAACAAAGCAGCTCCTCCTTAATTCCCTTGCTTCCTTGGATGGCCAAGTGGGTAGCCAGCTAGCACATCTTGCTCAGTCCACAGACAAGGAAGGGGAGAATAAGAAGTTGCTGCTCTCCTACAATACACCATAAGGTTGGAAAACCCCTCCTCCTCTATGAAACAATCTGAACATACACCCCCCCCCCCAAAATACTGGCCAAATGCTCTGCTCCCAATTCCACTTGCAATTGTAGAAGGCACAACCAAATTCTCCATTCCCCAATCTGACCTGGGGAAGAATTCCTTTCCAGGGAGACAATATGACTACCAGCGAGATGCAGAGTGGGAATAAAATGGAGGGGGTGGAGGGACATTTTCTTCAGTAAAGGGAATTCTGACTTTACTGAAAGCAGGACCCAGCCTTGTGCTCTTCTTTCCTGCTCCCCTCATGGCATGTAGGTGAGCATCTGATCTTGAGGATCCCTTGCAGGATCATCTTCTTTAGCAATTTCACTGTCCATGCTTAGAGGATATGCTGCAAATCAAACAACAGGACTCGCCTGGTTTTGGTGTTTACTTCGAGTGGTGGGGAAGTGGTAAAACCTAAGTACCACTTATGATCTAGCCACATGTGGGCGTGAGGGAAGAAGTCATATCCAAAAAGTTTATTGTTAATGCTCAATCTTGCTCATGATAAACACGAGTTAGTACAGCAGCAGAGCCCACCATCAGCCAAAAGATGTGTTATCTAACTGAACACCCTCTTTTCTCTCTTAAAAGACTATTTTCTCTGTACTTTTTGAGGACACAGCATTTTCCTGCGAGTACACTGAACCCTTAGCAAGAGCAGGTCTGGAACAACCATGAAAGGCATTTGGGTGACACTGCATTGAGATGAACGACGCCCTGTGCTTGCTGCATCACAGTTGAGATCATTCTTTTATCTAGAAGCCTTTTCCTTTCAGACACACTGGGGTGTGTGTGTGGGGGAGGCATCTTTAAATATATGTAATTAACTGCTAAAAGCCTCCTCCTATTCGTCCTCCCATCAAAGACATTGAGCTTTGTAAGATGAAAGATTTCTGGCACAAGTAACACAAGCCCAGGGTGATTTACCTGAATAGGTCCTACCGACATCAGCAGGTTTTTCAGTTGGACATCCGTGGTTGATGAAGAAAGCCCTTCAACTGACACAATGCAGGGCTGTGGTTTGCACTCTACCACTCGCAGATTCTGTTTATTTGGCATCAAGCGTCCTCGGCCCATCTGGCCCGCAATGCCTCTGCCTCTCCCGTGCGTAATGACCTGCCAAGAACAAAAGTAAGCTGCATTTCTCTATTTACTTGCTTTCACCTAACTGAATCTGACAGGTAACGCGCAAGTTAGTAATTCACTTAGAAGGAGATGATGAAAGCGGAGACCGATTAAAAGGTGTCATGTTGCTGTTGGCAAATTTTATACACACAAGCTTGTTCGTTGGACTGACAGCCGAACAGTTCAGACTCCCTGCGTGCTATAAATGTGCAAATATGGAGACATGTCAATGTAACAAGGATTTCCTCTCTGGGGGAAGCAACAGCACCAGAAAGGTTATGCCACTGTTTCCCTTAAGAGCTTTCATAACTGCCCAACCGTCCTGGAAATGGGGGTTTGCCGTAGCAGTTTTCATTCGCCTCCCTGGCCTTCTGATTTCCAGGGGTGTCGTCAGCTCTCCAAATTCAGAGCTTGCAAAGCTTAGCTAGTCTGCAAGACAAGCCCAATACTAAGAGGGCAACACCCTGATGCACAAAATGGCAACAAAGTTCTATAGGTTTGCATAGCAGAGAAACTGAGCATCCATGATGGATGCTCATTGTGGCAAAGATCATGTTAAGTTCTACTTAGAAACACTATGCAGATTGAGACAGTTTCAGGTGATAAGTCTACTTTAACACTAAAATGACAATACAAAAAGTTGCAAATACTTGACACGCCAACTCTCTCTTCACTCCTTCTCTAGCAGCTGGCATGTTTTAACTGGTTCAGCATCTGAATAACCGTGGGAATTCATTCCTGGCTATTCTTACAAATTACAAAGGTGATTTTAATACAAATTGTGAACCCATACCTTCTTTGCCTGATGTATCCCCGGGATGTTTTTCAGCCCCTGGGGAAGTGAGTGGATCTGTGCCAGCTGGTGCTGATGTGGTTGCTGTATTGTTCCTTTTGTCAACGTGACCTTCCGCACAGGCTGGTGTCTTTGGTCCAGGGGCTGCTGTAGCCGGTGGTGTGGCAGGTCGGAGTGAGAAAAGCCAACGTTCTCACCACCCTGTGGGAAACAACACCACACCGGTTCAGGATCCACAAAATGCAGCACATGTTTTCTGCAAAGCTACTACAGCGCCGAGCGTGATTAGTCTGCACAGGTACCATATTCTGCTAAAAACAGAAACTGGCTGGAAATTTTGGGTTATGTTGGGTGGAAATAGAATTATGAAATGGGGAGTTGGCAAAAAGCCACCAGGTTACTAGCTACATGATGACAGGTTACTAGCTACAATGGAAAGAGTCTATGCAAATGTTCTTCTACATGTACAAATGAATCAAAGCCTAATATATGAGAACATCTAAGCCAGGGATGTCCAACAGGTCGATTGCAATCTACTGGTAGATCCCCGGGAGGCTTTGGTAGATTGTGGTCGATCACTGGTTCCCTTTCCTCAGTTAAAAATATATTTGTGCCCCACCCCCTCGCCCCACCCTCCATTGTTGCCTGAGCTCCAGAACGGAAGACAGAACTTTTGCCATGAGGCTGATTGTTTCCTTGGTGATTTTTTGGTGAGTGACTTTTCCCCTTTCCCCTTTCCCCCTAAAAAAAGCTCATCAACTTTGACCTGACCCCCCCCCCAAAAGGGGTAGATCACTGCCAATGTTTTGTTCTGTGAGTAGATCGCAGTCTCTTAGGAGTTGGCCATCCCTGATCTAAGCTGTGACTTGCATGGGTAAAACAGAATCACATCCACATTCCAGATTAGTTTGATGACAGTGGGGGCTGCCTACTGCATGCTCCTTGGGCCACATTCCTCTATCTAGGCTTATAGTTGCTTTCTCTGGGTAACACTCGCCAATTTTAGGTTCCCAAATGCAGAAGGGGACATTTAAAATTTAAAAAGGTAGTTATGATTAGAGGTACAATGCTGAGGAAATAAATCATGTTGGCATGTATTTATGGTTCACATAATTCACTTGGGAAAGTTAGTAAAAAATTTGCTGCTCTGTTAGGTGAATTCAGTAGAGGAGAAATAATTATGGCAGAAAATTATATTTACCAAAAAAAATCAAATGAGTACCAGGGCGGAAAACCTAGAAGCCCCACTTACAATACCAGAAGGCTGAAAATTAATTAATTAAAAATGGCAAATTTCCTAGCCCAGATGGTTTATCTGCTGAGTATTATAACTCTACCATTCTGATATATATAAATACTGATCAGACTGAGGGGTTTTGTGTGGGGTTTTTTTGGAGAAACAATAAATTTTTGAGAAACAATAAAATATCTACCATCATACAAAGGTCAATCAGTATGAGAGAGCTCAAGAACCTAAAGTCTACATTGTTATTTCTAAGTGGCAAAAGGGATTTGATAGACTAGAGTGGTGATATCTGTTAGAGTTTGAATTGTTTTAATCTGGGTAGAAATTTCAGATCCTGATTCAACTTCTGTATCAAAAACTGACAGCACAAGGGCAGCTTATCTCTTGGGTCAATTTTTACCATCTAGAGCAGGAATGGGGAACTTTTTTTTGCTCCACAGGCCAAATCCTTATCAGAACTAGACTTGCAGGCCAAATCTGCATTGTTATAGGAGGGTGTTGGTTATGGTATGTATTTTATATTACAAAATGTAAATTTCTTTGTGTTATATATTTATAAGTTAAGATAAATATATGTAATCATAAATAAGTTCCACCCCCACCCCCAAAAAGAAAATAAAATATTGCTTTAAAAAAGAAAGAAAGCAATTTAAGATTAAGTGGGCTGTAGTGTTTTTCCTATAAGGAAAGACTAAAAGCTTTTGCGACTTTTTAGTTTACAAAAGGTGAGACGTGATGGTGGCTTATAAAGCTGCAAATTATGGAGAAAATGGCTAGAGAATTCCACTCCATTCAAAACAGAAGAATTCAGATGTCCAATAAAACTGAATGGCTGTTGATTCAGGTCAGGCAAAAGAAAGTCAAACAACATCTAACAGAATTCACTCCTACAGGATTAGTGATAACCACTAGCTTTGCTAGCACTGAGCTCCCCTGGGCAGGGTGTCTGTGGTCAAAGGTAGAAAAAGTTGTACTGACCTGCTTCCCACTAGGAATTTCCTTCTTTGATGGGAGCCAAAAGAAAACCACAACAAGTGCTTCATAATGGGAAGTCACTTTCCCTTGGGCAACCCAGCAGAGGTCACTCTGACCAGACATGTGTGTGTATCTGTTTTCTAAATAACAGCTTCCTGTCGATGAGCCAATAGTGGATGGGTTACTCCTGCTGAATTTTCAGCTTATTTGTCCTGGGTTTACATGCCCTAACACTAGCAGAATGCATATCAGTGCGTGCTGATTTGAAATGCCTTTAATTGACAGCCCATGTGAACTGAAAACTGTCCTCTGTGGCTGCTGTAGGGTTGCCACATTTCATGGCATAGATTGAACAGAAACTACATGCCACCCTTTGACTTTTTAAGCATGCTGTCACTACCATTATAGGGGCGGGTAGGAAATAAGATGCCTGTCACAAGGCTGCATTTATGATGTTGTTGCAACGATGACAGACAGCTTTACTAACGTGTTGAGTGACATCATTGATCAATATGAGCATGCCCACTACTCAGGCCACTCCTGCCAAGGTTCCTGATGTCATGGCTGGCAAAAGGAGTTTAGGCATGTTTAATGGAAATCAATGACTACTAGCCAGGTTCAGGGGCATATTGAGCACCAAATATTGCAGGACACACAGCTGGGGGGGGTGCCCTGCTTTTGAGATGTCCAGGGGCATCTGAATTGCCACTGAAGGAAGCAGGATGTTGGACTATCCAAACGCCTATTATTTTCTAATTATGGTGTGTGCAAATCTTTTTTGCCATGGCACTAGATGCTTCACAGAAATCCATCTGTCATCAAGTCCAAGCTAGGTGAATCCACCAAAAGAACTACTTAAGAAGGGTATAATTCTGTTGCATGTAGATTAAAATATCATTCCAAATTTTGGGACTCAATTAAAACCAGTGTTGTCCTAGAGGGGATGCAAACCTTTCTAATGATGATTGTGATGATGATTTATTGAGTTTATATGCTGCCCTATACCCATCCTCAACAATTATCTGCCCACAGAGCAAGTCTTAGAACTGAGCCAATAACCAAGTGATACATTAGCACTATTTTGGTAGATTTGCTGATCTTCAAACCTTGAAAGCCAACTTTCATTTTGAATCAAGACCAGTATTTTCAGATGACCTTTAATATATTCTTATTCTTCATATTCAAAGTGATAAACCAAGAACAGGATTAGGTGTGGGACAGTACAGTTAAAAGGGCAAGTGCTCTAGTCACAGTCAATTCTTAAACTGTTGATCCGCAAAATACCAGATCCTACAGATTTAAAATGCAAACAATGAGAAGTCAAGAAATATGCTTTCATCCCATTATTATATAAAACAGTATTGTATCACAAGTAATTTGTTACAAAAACAAAAAAAAACCACGATCCTTGCCAGTTTTCAGTGATTGGTATAAGACATTCCTAAACTAAAGGTATTACACACTGACATATAGCTTAATATTGAACTTATGTGGTACAGTGGTACCTTGATTTACAAACATAATCCGTTCCAGAGGTCCGTTTGTAAACCAAAACAGGTTGTAACCCAAGGCACGTTTTCGCCAATGGGGCCTCCAAAATTTTTTTGTTCATAATCCCCCCCCCCCAAAAAAAGGAATCCAAAAAAAAGGTTGCAAACCGGGACACGCACTTCCGGGTTTGACATGTTTGTAATCCAAAACATATGCAAACCAAGATGTATGCAAACTAAGGTACCACTGTATTAACTTTCTATTGTCATTTGCGACTTGGAAGACACCTTGAAAGTCCAGCTGGACTGTACAAGAAAGAACATAAAAGAATGAGGTCCAACCATCTCTAGATCAATGGTTTATTTGCAGAAATCTAAACTAATTACCTCCAGAAACTTAAGAGACCACGCATTATTGTAAAGAACATGCATTCTTTAATAAATAAGACCTTTGAAGGAGTGCCAGAATTTTGTATGCTGTGCACTCTATCACGGATACCCTGACAGTTTCACAATGAAGATGAAGTTTGTTTGCCACCAATATTAGCCAGACAAATTTATTTATAACAAATGCTTCGAGGATGTCCTGATAAAAAACTGCCCCATTGATACTGTCAGAGCTTCTTGCAATTTGACAGATCAAATCTTATTTTAATTCTTAAAACCCCGCGAATGAGCGATATCACCAGCAAGCATTCTGTAGTGAGCAAATTGATTAATCCCCTTCTATAGAAATCTCAACTCTTGATTACACCTATCAGGCGTTAAGCAGCATTATTCCAGAGTGACAACACTTGACAAATTCCCCAACCATCTCTCTCAGCCTTTGTGGCCCTTCTAGCTTGTATTAACCCTGATGAAAAATTAATTTTCCTTATCTTTGACTAAAACCCAAAATCCAAATCCGCCAAACTGGCAACTCTTTCTGTAAAGGTATTATGAAAACCTCCAAAAGATTAATTGCATGTCTTCAGGTGACATTAAATTAATTTCTATACTCATGACAGACATTTGATACTCCGTACTGAGAGGACAGATAACATTGTAAGGATACACAGAAGGACAGTAGTGGAGTGTCCCAGGGCAGCCTCTTATGAATTCTCCTTTCGATAAGGCCATACTTCACTGTCATTGGCACTGTTACCGATCTTGCAGCCCATAGACCTCACTGCACAGGTTTCTATTAACGACGACAATGCTGTGTTTATCCATGTAATCTTTTCTAAAGCTAATTCAAAAATCACCCAACAGCGAGGGGGATGTGTTTGCCGGATAAAGCATTTAAAGGAAATAAACTTGGGTCGATTTGTGAAGTGTCACATTGCAGGGACACAGGCAGCAAAAAACTGCTCTGCAGACGTATTTTGTGAAGATGAGCAGACAGGAAACCTTGCACCACAGGACCCTCAAACGCCCGCGTTGAGAGAAAAACTCCTTTTTCAACAAGAGCCTGTTTATAAACATTTAAAAACATCCATTTTTCAGCCTTT